CTGCCCTCCTGTCAGTGCCTACTCGCCTAGATGCCACCGCCGTGGGGCAACGGAGAACTGCTCCCAGGGTTTCCGAGGCCCTAGCTCTCAAAAATGAGAAGCAACTGTCTAAATCCCGGCTGCGTCATCATGGAGGGCAGCGAGCCCAGGAATAATCAGACAAGCTCTCTGAATTAACAATTCTAAAGGCACAAAAACTAAGGAGGGTTATAGTTCTCCTTTATGCTTCCGGTAGGTATTCATGGCCTGGAGCAGAGGAAGGGATCACAGTTAAATTCATGGAGTGTCTTCTGGCGTTGAGCCCGGGGCCAGCTGATGACCTTGGAAGCCTACCCCTGGGACTACATACCTGTTCCCGTAAAGGCCTCTGCTCGGATTTGCTGTCCAAGAAATTAACCACGGACTGACCACACGCGTCCGTTTTGTGTAATGAAACCCGGCATGTCTGTGCTTCATCACAGCGCTCACACGTAAGTGCTTAAGAAGCCCGTGTGCCCCTCAGACCCATTCCCCAGTGGTTTCACTTTCCTTTAAAAAAAAAAAAAGTGAAGAGGAAGTACAGGTGGGATCAGCCCCTGGGGCATCCCCTCTGGCCATGCAGAGTGCATTGCAAAGTGGATGGCCGCTGGTACAATCAGGCTGAAGACCAGCGCCCTCTCACTAATCTTCCTTAGGATCCACTTAAACTGGTTCTAGATGTTCACTTTTACTGCTTGCTTTTCCATTGAGATTTTAATCTGTTTTACTTCGTTACTCTTGTTAGTTTTTTGATTTTTTTAAAAAAAGTTTTTCTGCACATGAAATCCAGGATTGGTAAATCTATAGAGAAATAACTGGATGAGTGGTCCCTTGAGGGTATGGCAGGGGAGGTTGGAGGGAAATGTGGCACTAATAACAAGTACAAGTTTGAAGAAAATGTTCTCAAACTGATGGTGGTGATGACTGACTGTCCAACTCTTCTTGATGAGACGGTACTACTGAATTGTATGACATGTGATGCCATGCCCATAAAGCTGTTGGAAAACAAGACAAGCCCCCCTCTGGCTGGCTACTGTACAGACCATTCCCACTACAGCAGAAAGTCCACTGGATGGCGCTGTTCCACAGTGCCCATGGCGGTGCCATTCTGTAACAACCGGAAACTGCAAACCAACCTCATGCCCATTAACTAGGACAGCTACGTTGTGCTTGACACAACAGAACGTGGCGCGCTGATGAGGATGAACTAACGCGCACAGTGGGGTGTGTATGCACACACCTGCATCTGTATACGGCAAAGCTTC